GTAAAACTTCAGACGCCTTGGGGAAAAAAGCATCTCGAACTGAGATTTTGCATCGAACAAAAGTACGTGCATCGAGGGTTTAAAAAATGATAAGATTTTGAAAACTCTTGGCACGTTTCATTGCCTACATTCAAGTATCCATCAACATTGATGATCGAAGAATCCAAATTAATGAAACAAACGTTAAACAAAATCAAATATTCATTGAAAGAGTCGAAGCTGCTCTATACATAAAAGTTCTAAGTCGGCAATCTATTTAAAACAAATAATTTAGTTTGTAAGCCTTATTCTACGGAATAGGATGCAGTTAAATACAACTAGAAAAAGTATAAGACTTTTAATAACATATATATTCATTTTTCCTCAATGTTTAGTTGAATAATATTATAAAATTTGATTTGGTTTAAAATTTAACTATGGTTTAGTTTTATTCCCGATATAGCACACCTATGGAGAAGCATTTAATAAAATTTATAACTTGAAAAAAATTTTCCATTTAGGTGAAAAAATATAAAGTGAGCATACGTTGAAAAAAAACGTGATAAAACACTAGTAAAAATGCAGAAATGGGCATACTATAGTTTCGGTTCTGTAAACAGAACCTTCTTCAGTCTCTTAACACCAAATACTAACGTACGTAGACACCATTTTGTATTTCAACATTAAAGAATACTTGATTCTAGAACGGAACTACAGTATGTCCATTTAAGTCTCCTTTTTTTGTGCTTTATTATACGCAGCACAAAGGTTAACGCATCTTCTTTTGGTTGCTCATACTTTTTCTGAAAACAAACCAAAGCTGAACAAAGCTGAAACCACATTTTATATTGATTTAATTACATTTCCGTATCCTTGACGAAAGGAAAATATATTTTTTCCTAACTGTGCTTAAACATGCAACACAAAAAAGTAATAGATAACATCCTGAGATAATAAAAATCTATATTCCCGTGTAAATGTTTTTTTTTTCTTTTTTACCTGTGTTCAAAACATTTATCATTACGTTTGTTTAGAATCATTTTAAATTATGAAAGATGAAAACGTACGTAATTTTGATATAAAGGAAGATTTAATCATATTTAATAATCAATTACTATTTTTCCTTACAACTTTATAAAAATAAATAAAATTTAGAATCGTATTCTTACTAATTTTCATCCAATATTTTTTTTGATAAACATTTCTTTGTTTTTAAAGGCAAAATATTTGCTAAAAATTTTGCAAGCGAAATAATTTTCAGAAACAAAACTTCCATTCCTCGAACAAACTAAAAAAAATCAATACGGATTTAAGTTGACGTAAATCATAAATAATTATGATTTACCTTAAACAGACTTTAATATCCAAACATTAAACACACCTTTTTTTTTAACGAGAAAAAAAAAAGTTTTCTCGTATAATGATCAAATAAAATATTAACTGTTAGTCAACTCGCGTTAAGCCTAACGAATATCACACGCGAAGGATTTAAATTAATGTAAAAAGAAAAGTGACAACTAAAAGCAATTAGAAAAAAATTAAAGAAAATTTAGAGCTCGAACCGAAACATAATTAATCTTAATTATTTTTTTGTAATTATTTAGGGATCGTGTGTTTATTTAAAACTGAAAAAAAAACAGTGAGTAGGAGTACTAAAAAAATAAAAACTTCGGTCATCAAAAGTTAACTTTCCCGCGAGACTAATTCATAAAAAGATATCGACGTATCACACGTCATAAATATCGTATAACGGCACGTTATTCCCACTTAGTTCCCCCTTAACCACTTAACTGACTTCTTAAATGTGAGTCTAATTTTTTTCAACCACTCAATTCTTTTCTTATAAACTTCGCTAATTACTCTTATCAAGAATAAACTAAGAAATAAGAAAGTTTTGTCGAAAAATATTTTAAATGAATTATGTGGAAAATTAATTTAATAAAACCTTGTATTTTAGTTTTTAGGAACCTTTTTCATAATCTAAATTTTTGATTAAGTGTTTTTGATACACGTTGTTTTTGTGATGCATTAAAAAAATTATTTAATTTCTAATGTTATTTTTCATGAAATTTGTGAGATATACATTTCACTCATAAAAAAAAAATTTAAAAAATGAATAAGAACAAGACTTCTAAATTATTTATGCAAATAAGACTTTCAAATTATTTATTTGTTAAAACAGGAAAAAAATGCCTTTTAACTGATATTTGAAATTACCTGAAACAAATAAAAGAAGGCCTCACATTCATTTAAAAATATTTGAAACAATAAGAATTCAACAAAAGCAAATAAGATTAAAAAAATATTCCAAGAAAACAATTCGATTCTTCTGTTCTTGAAGAGAAAATGATGTTCCATGTTATTTCTTAAGAATTAAAGCAAAATAAAAGATTGGAACTATGCAAATAGGGAGAAAATGATTATTCATGCTAAGGATAGAAAAGGGAGAACTTTGAAAATCTCTCACTATTAGTTAAGACTATATTAAGATTGAGTATAAGAATAAGAGATAAGATTAGTATATATCAGGAACAGTTAATTTCAAGATCAGTATACATTAACATTAATTTAGATTAATATCAAGCTCCCTAATTAAACCAATACAATTAAAAAAAATTCAATGAAAGCAGAATGTTTGGCTAAAATTTCATTAAGATGGAAAAAAATAGAATATTTTGCTATTCTTTCGAAAATATTTAAACCAATTTCATTAAAAAAGTCATGCTAAATCTCTTTAACTGAGCCGTGGTGAACCGTTCCAATGTGGTGAACCAGGTCCCAGCAATGACTAGTCGATTCGAATTCCACACCCCGCTATCATTGACCGCAATGATGACGTAAAATATCCTCAGTGGTAAACGAATCATGGTTTAAAGTCCCCTTGCCATCAGGCTCACTGTGGCAGGTTTTCATGGTTTCCCTCTCCAAGTAGCACAAATGTGGGTTAGTTGCATCAAAAATTCCACCACAAAGGTAAATTTCTCCCAAAACTTCATCCAGAAACTCCCTTGACTTCTGGGTTGGGTTCAAACTTACTAGGCTACGGAGTTGAACATTAGTTGTCATAAACCCAAATTTTTGTCGGCTGTTCAACGAAAGTTATAAAATAAAATAAAACTTTTTTAACCGTGGTGGCTCAGGGAATTGAACTCTCGCCTTCCAAATGAGGTGCCCCAGGTAAGAAATAGATACGAATTCTGCTTCCGGTGCACACTGACTTATAATATCCTCAGTGGTAAATAGATCATGGGTGCAATCGGGCTAACTGTGGAAGGTATTGGCGTTTTCCATCTCCATGTAATGCAAATGTGGGTTAGTTCCATCAAAAAATCCTCCAAAAATGCTAGTTTGTCCCAATGCTTGATTCTGGCATTCTCTTGTCTTCTGGATTGGGTTCAAAATTACAAGACTTCGGAGTTACATTGGTAGTCATAAACTCAGAATTGAGTCTGCTCTTCAACACTGGTAATAAAATAAAATAAAACCTTGTTAACATATCAATACTTTCTAAAATAGTTAAATGTTGTAGAGTAAAAACAAAGTTAATTAGTTAACTGCTTTAGTCTAAATATATTATATATTAACAGTAAAAATTAGCAACACTGAAATTATTATCAATGAAATTTATTATAAAAAAACGAAATTAATTATGCATTTGATGTATCAACAATGTACAAAATAAAAAGATATCACTCAGAATAACTTTAGTTCGAATTATCACAAACTTCTGAAAAGAGGCGACCTCAGAGATGTTAATAAATTAGTACTAACTACCAAATCAGACAGTTATGAAAACATGCTCACTCTAAATAGACATACTTTTTTTTACAACTGATTGGAATTTTTAATTATCAATAATATGGAGGGAGTAACCTGTCAGGAAAGTGGTCGAAAATTTAGGTCCCTTTACGTAAATTTCACTTTTTGCATATTTCACCTTATCTCAAAAATATTTTAAACAAATCGAAAAAATTTCGCACACAGTTATAAATATTCAAGATGATTCCATGTAATAAATCATTTTTATTATTTTATTTAATTAAGGTCGGGAAAAAAATGCTGAATGTTAAGGTATACAAATTTTCACATCCTTTTAAACTTTGTCCGTTTTAATAACAAAATATTAACAAATTTGGTGAAATTGTTCTTGAGAAATAGAATTTCAACATGGCTTTTTTGGAAATCAGAAACTATTAAGTTAATATAGCTCAAATTTTGTATTTTGTTAATTAAAAAAAAATAATCAAAATAAAAATAGGTAAAAAAAATTTATTAATACAAACATTTGAAAAATCTTAATAATTAAGTGCAAAAATATTAATTTATAACAAATGAACATATATGTTACATGCATAAACCTTATAAAAAACATATATATTAATTGGATAGCTGCCAACTTTACTGGGATTCCTAGAAGCCCCTTGCATTTTTCCAGATTCCCCTAGTCTCCTGATTTAATCAAAAATTTATCTAATTTTTCAATTGCTGAAAATTCTATAAACTGGGAAAGTTTATAAAAAATTATAATCAATATTAATTTTCTTCAGTCACTTTATTGCATGTCATGTGTTTTATAAAAAAATTTCAATACTAAATATGCAATAGGCTCAATAGGCTTCTAATAATCAATCTGCTACTTTTCTTTATTAATTAATCTAAAATAATTAAGTATCAATTAAGATATAAAATAATGAATTCAAAAATATAATGAACATAATTAAACTATTTATATCATGAAAACAATTCAAGTCCATTTAATATTAATTGTAAAAGAAAAAAATTCGATCAATTTAAATTTACAGTTCAAAGTCATACTTTTTGCATTCTGTTAAACATTTTACATTCTTATTAAACTAAAAATTATTCCTAAAATTCAATTTGTCTAAAATATTTCATATATAATGTGCAATAGTTACCATGGAATTAATGTTACTTCGTAAAATCTACTCTTTTTTTTTTCTTTTCCAAGTTGGCAGCTATGAAGTTGTACAGTAGCAGTGATTTAAATAAATACACGCAAGGCAAGTAAAATAATATTTATTAATTGATCAAACACAGTCAAACTTCTATAACCCAATACATTCACAATTAGAGGCAATTTTAAAATAACCAAAATATGCATAGACTTTGACATTGAAAATTTTTTTTTATAAACTTGACGTTTGAAAAGTTAAATTTATAACTTTTTTTAAAACTAAAAACAATTTGAGCACTTTTGGTAATACCAAAAGAGTTCTCAATCAAAAATTTAAAAATAGAAACAAATAATTTTCTAGAGAAACTTATCATTGAACTAAAAATAAAAATATATCAACTGATCAATCAAATACAGTTAGACATTTCTAATCCAAATATCTATAAATTTTATAAACATGGACTAATGCATAGGCTTTAACATTAAATATTTATTTAAATCTTGAGTTTAAAAAATTGATTTACAACATTGAAAACTTTAGAAAAAAAACTTTCAAAACATCTTTCAAGCAAATCCAAAGAAGTCAACGATAAGATTTTAATGAAAAATTGTTTTATGGCAATTTCTTATTTTTGATGCAACGCATTTCATAAATCCAATTTAAACTGTTTCAAAAATCAACCTTAAGTTTAAAAATTAAAACACCATAATCATTTATTTTTATAAACTTATATCAGCTAACATTTGTGGAAAAATAAGTATTTAATGTTCTTATACATTTTGGACAATACAATTCTCTCAGGGTAAAAAAAGTGTCACAAAAATATAAAATATTACTCTTTTTTTTTAAAGTGTTCATTGCTTTTAGCAACCTACCCTTTTTCATTGTAACATATAATAATCAATAAATGCTTTACATATAAATAATTAAATTTTTGTTGCTTTACTCTTTTTTTAATGACTAATTTTTTTAAAGAAAGTGTCTACTGTTATTTACTTTTTGGTTTCCTTTAATAAGAAAAAGAAAAACGATCAAAAAATGTGAATATTTCAATTTTCTATGAATTGAATACTTTTTTTACTTCTGATTTTTTACTGCATCAAGTTGTAGAAGTTCAATAGTATATTTGTAAATGTTTTCCTTTAATAAGAAAAAGAAAAACGATTAAAAAATATGTGAATATTTCAATTTTCTATGAATTGAATACCTTTTTTACTTTGATACTGCATCAAGTTGTAGAAGTTCAACAGTATATTTGTAAATGTTTCATACAGCGAAATTAACAACAGTACCTTCTTTTAGTCAACAGAAATAAAAGAAAATAATTTAAACAAAACAAATCAATAAATGCATTCATAAGAGTAGTAAGACTTAAGAATAAAAGCAAAATTACATCACTAATAATAATTACTCAATAATTGTGTTGAGGTATTTAAATGCTAATGAAAATGTTTTCTTGAGTTATGCAGGAAAAAAAGAATGTTATTACTTACAATGAAAGATGGATTCTTATAACAAGCAGTAATGAGAGATCAAATATTGTACATAAAATTGCAAATACTTCTGAATATGACTAAATATAAGCATGATGGCACTATAAATACAGTTTTACACATATATTTACAATTTCTGGAGAAAATGTCAAAGTACTTTGTTAAAAATTAAATTTAACAATGAAGCATATCTTCAGAATTTTGCGCTGAAAACACAATAAAATAATTATTCCTTTGTATTGCAATGTTTTATTTAAAACATTACATTAATTTTAAAGTTGATACAAAAATAACTTTATATTGATGTGTCTCGTAGAAGTATCAGATAAAATGACAAGATTGTTTAAACATTTATTTTACTAAAATTGATATGAAAATTTTATAATACAAAAAAAAAATTTAAAACAAAGTTGCAAATTTTAACTATTTGCTACATATTTATTGAACATAATTCCAACAGGGTCACTAAAAGGGCCATATCGTGCATGAGAATCAACTGCCCTTATAGTAAAATGATACTTAAAGCCTTCAACAAATTGTGTTAAAGTGCAGGCCATGGGTAAAGGTAATGCTTTTACATTTCCCACAGGTTTCCAAAGAGCTGCAGTGATAGGTGAGCCACTAGTCTCTTGATATGCAAACAGCTGATAAGACAGTATGTCTGCAAATACTTTTAAATCAGAATGTATATTCCAAGACAAAACAATACCTAGAAAATTAAAAACATAATCATTAAACTAATTTATTTGCATACTTAGAAAAGTAGAAATAGAAAATTTTTCAAGTATTTTGTCAGTTAAAAATATGATAAATATTTAATTTTTCTTTTAAAGATATGAAACGATAGAAAGATATGAAACAGATGAGCTATGAAACGATACATTCTTATGAGATGACTGGCCATAAAGAAAGAATGTTACTTAATACAATAAAACCAAGCTAACTTAAATACATCACTTTTATTTATTTATTTACTTATTTTTNTTTTCGAATATTGTAAAATTTAAATTTTGTACTGTTCCTTGCATAAAAACTTACAATTATTTACATGTATCCTAAAATATGCATATAAATTGTGTGAACTTGTAATGCATAAATTTGTTTTACATTTGTCTACCATTTTATATTTTTGAAACACTGAATGAATACCTATTTTAGACCACTAAATTTCCCTACAAATACCTTATTTAATTATCCCAATCTTTTAAAATACTTTATTGTGTAAGTTCATATTAAAGTTCATGTCATTGCAAAAAAAAAAAAAAACTTATATATATATATATAAGTTTTTACAGCGGTACCTGAATAGAATGAACTAGTTCGGAAATATTACTGAATTAAGCACAGTTAAAATTTAATAAAACTTACCACTTGCATTCCTGGAACCTTTTAAAGAAGGCTTTGGAGGCACTGGTTTTAGTCCTGGTCTCATTGGATAACTAGCCATTTGTGGAAATGGTGCAGGATGTTGTAACTAAAAAGAAACACACGCAAAAGAAAATTTAACAAAAAAATAAACTGTAACAAATAAATTTTTATTATAATCCTTTTTGTTAGTATACATATATGGAGCTATACTTTCAAATATAATTATATTTCAGTTTAAAATAACATTAAAAAAATTTTATGCTTTCTAATATTTTAATTTAATTCTTAACACAAAATAATTTTGCCCGAAATTAGCTTTAGTATAAGAAAAATTATCTCAATCGCATTTTAAATCACTAGAAAGCCCCACAGCTAGAACCACAATGTCTGCTCTTAAGTACTTTTGCTTTTAGAACAAAAAGTATCTTTCAAGCATAATAAATTACAATTTTGGATCAAAATTTTTATTGATGAGTAGTTATAAACTATTCAAGAATAATATAAAAATTCTCGAATCTTAGTTAGAAAATATCTCAATCTAATAACTGCAACCAAAAAATTTCAAACTATAATTTTTTTGCAGAGGAAAGCTTTTTCCAACCACTAATTTGCCAGTTATGAAAGTAATTACGAAAATGAACAAAATTTGTGTGTCCAGTAGAACTGACCACAAACTTCATGTATTTAATATCTCATGAATTAAAAAGAAAAATTCATAATGTGTAACATAAAACTATTCGAGAATAGTATAAAAATTCCCAGATCTTAGTTTTAAAAAAATTACCTAAAAACCCTAGTAACTACAACCAAAACATTTTTTAACAATAAAGTGATGCACGTCACTTTTTAAACACACCTAATTATGAAAATAAACAATATTTGCATGTCCAGTAGGATACTTAAGCTTTCAAATTTGAATGTGCATAGATATGTTTACATACAAGAATCAAAATGCAATGTATTGTTGAACCCTTAAGTAGCGGCACTACCTTTTAATTTAAAAGATATAAATTAAATAAACAAAAGACATACATAATTGGCATTCTTTTTATTAAATATACAAACCATCTGTTCTCCTCATTATATCCACACACACACAAACATGCATATAAATAAAATAAGAAACAGAAACAGTTTGGGTCATTAAAAGTGGAGATTACTCAGGCTTAGCAACTAAGTCCTAATGAGTTTTTAATCTTTGCTACCATATTTAGCTGACTTAAACTAGATCTCAAAATCCTTTATGAAAACCAAAAGAGTTCTCAAACCTTGTAACTTGTGGAATAAGATAATTCATTAACAATAGAACCAAAGCAGAGCAGGCTACAAAAATTAAATTGTTCTCAAATATTAAATATCCACTGTACAAACCTTGAAGTTAAAATTTGCATTTTTTGCATGCACTGAATGTATAATTTCATGAGAAATCATAAGCTTATACATTCATGATTTATACCAAATATAATGAGATATATTTATTATATCATATTAGATATATTTATAATTATACCAAATATAATGAGAAGAGAACTAATACTGAAATGTTTTTAAAAAAATCAATATGTAACGCATTAGTTATCATGATGTAAAAATTTGGATTTGGAGTTTAAAAACAATAGGGATATTTCTCAACATCTCCCAAATTTACTATAAATTTTTTGTGGTCAAGGGTTTGAAAAGAGGCACTGTAAAGCTAAATGTGTCTTTGCAAAGCTGCTAATGTTTTAAGTAACTCTAAATGATATTCAAGTTTATCTTGTAAAAATAAAGATAAATCAAGAATGCCTTTAATTAATTTCTGCAAAATTTAAATTTTTAATAATGAATAATAATATCTTTATTCATGTTTAATTTTTATTCATGTATTACCTAATAATGCATTGCTTTACAAACATTAATAACCTGACTTTGGATTTTACTGACTAAAATTGATTAGACCTAGCTTTGGGTGGTCTTTATCTCAATGAAACCCATGTGGGGTTTGAACCACAAATCCTAGTAATCCCTAGTTTAATTGGTTAAACCTAGGTTTACCTTTCATTCTTGTTTTATCAGTAGCATACATTCAAGATAAAGATAAAATTAAAATCAGATATTTAAAGCCTTATTGATAGAAGTCTATTAAATAATCAGAAACCTAGTAACCAAGCATATTAACAATGGAAAGATAATATTAAAGTTAAATTTGCTACAAAAAATTTTGTCACAATATTTTTAAATTAGAAAAAAAAACTAGAGAACAACCTAAATAGAAATTTGAAATAAGAATGCAAAAAAATCTTGGTTTAAATTTAATTTTAAAAAAAACAGTTATTTTCAAAATTCAATAATAATTTTTTATAATATATCATGTATAAAAAAATTAATTTTTAAAAATTAATGACTTTTATCCTAAAAAAAACTTAGTTTTTTTTTTTTTTTAATTTTAACACTTAAATCAATGTGGTCTGAAACAAATGCTCCTGATAGTTGGTACAAATTGATTCATTAGTTTTCTATTAATAAGTCTCCCAACATCTGACATAGTTTAATGATCAACCTGCACATGTTGGTTATTGGATTATGTAACAAAAGATTGAAGGAGTAGAAAAATAATAGTAAATTACCCTAACAGGAGGAGCACTACGGGAATAAACAACAAGATTAGAAGATGAACTTAGTGTTGCTCTTGCACCGTGCGGCAAAGATGGTTGCCTTACAGAAGAGTTTACTATAGAACTCAGTGGAGCTTGACTACCTAAATAAAGTACAATAATCATAATTTAAAAATTTTAAAAATAAAGAAAGTCACAATGTTTTTTAAGTTGAAAACTAAAGGGAGTTTTATCTACAAAAATTAGGAACAGTAAATATGAGTAATAGAATTTACAATTTAAATTTCTTTTAAAGCAGTCTATAAAAGTCATTTTTTTCTCAGTATTTCTTCCCCTTTTCCACAGGTCAAGCTATATTATATAAATATATGCCAGCAGTACAAAAAGAAAATGCATGTTGTAGGTATTATTTTATTTATAAACTTGAACAATGCTTTTTAATGATGTTTGCGAACATATCAATAAATTATTAAATGTGTACTTATTATAATGGAAAAAAAATGCTGAAAAAATAAAATATATATTTAATCTGCTAATTTTAAATATTTTTATTTTAACCAAAATATAGAATGCCACACTTATTACCTTTGTCATTAACAATCAGTACTTCATTTTACTCCCTTCCAACCAAGTGTGACATCATTTATGGACACCCTCTTAAAAAAATATTTAACATCTCTTTTTTTTTCTAAATTTAAAACAGTAATTAATATTTTTAGAAATTCGGTAAACAGCTTATTAAGTTTGAATTTTTCTAAAATTTTTAAATCAGGTAAAATACATGTTTAAATAACATCAACAAATAATATTCTATAATTTATAAGTACTTTTATAAGTATAATTCATAAGTACTCTTTATAAAACTTTTCTTTTGATAATTACAAGTAAAATTAGTAATTATCACCATGAGTTATTTTAATTAGAAAATTATTTTTTTTACCTCGCACAAAAATTATTTAATTTATAGATTTTTATAACTACTTTACCAATATCTAGTTTGATATTAGATTTTGATATCTCTTTTTAATATTAGGCTTTTCCTATACTCCAAACCCTTTCATTTCAGTAATAGATATTTCTATTATGCATTATCAATTTCAAGCTGTAAGTTACTCTTTTTTGAACTTAAAAAAAATATATGATTCATATGTCATAAGTTAAGCAAGAATCTAAATTTTTTATAACAACAAAAACAGTTTTTATAAAAAAAAGTAAACATTAAATTATAAAGCAATTACTTATATATTAGCACAATACAATACAACACATAAATACAAATCATAAATATTACAGTTTAAATGTACTGATACGTAATAAAATATTTAGAAATGATAATTTTTTATCACTTTCAGAAATATTTTAAAATATAATTCATTCAAAAAATAAATGGAATGTCTTATTTTATTTTTTGATGACTTGTACCTTTTGCTATAAACTGTGTATTTCTTAAGAGCTTCTTCCAAAGTAATGAAATATGCAGATTTGATAATAAAAGAGACACAAAGTTTTTAAACGAAGCAAAATTTGTCACGACGCTAGTGAATGAAAATTGTGAGATTTTAACCAGTGAAAGTAGAATTCATTTCTAAGAGTAATATTTTTTACCTTTGAGGTTATATGGGTCATTTTCCATCCCCAGTGTACTTTATGCAAACCTTATGGTTTAAGTAATTTATTTAAATTTGGGGGGGCTGGTGTTTTTTTTAATATGTTTCAACAAAATACTACTAATAAGATTATTATTTATCACAATTTTTGTTTATTTCATGTAACTAAAATATACCTATATGCCATTTCCTAGTCATTCACCACTGCTGAACAGAAGACAGTATTTTTTTCAAAATTGAATTTCTGTGTTTCTAGCACAGAGAAAATCTGAACACAGAAAAAATTGTTTCTAACTAAATAAGCTTTAAGTTCACAGATAAGCATTTTTCATTTTAAAATACTGAAAAATTCAATTTCGAAAAAATTACTGTTACAGCATTTTTTAAAGTTTGTAATTCATTGCATAATTTTCTCACAAAATATGCAAACTCTCAACAATAAAAACTCAAATGATTCACAACTAGTAACTTAAATAATACTGAAGCATGTTTTCCTCTTCATTTTACTGAAGTTTTGTCAGCACAATCCATTTGAATGCATTAAATCAGATTACATATTTTACCATTCTGTTTTTTTTTTCCTTGTTTTTTTTTCTCTCTATGTATCTGTATTCTTTGCAGAGTTTTTTTCAGTGTATAAATATATTGTAGTAGAAATTTTTTGTAAGTGAAAATACAAGATTAAAAGAATGCATTGATTATACTTTGGGGCACGCAAAACTGTAAAATTGTAAAGTTTGTTTCTTTGTACCCTGTATTTTCCTATTTATTGTGAATGTATTCAATATTAAGGATTAAAAGCATTACAATTATACATTCTTTTATGTTTAATAAAAATCTGAAAGAATTAATCAAGTATCTTTCTCTAGATAAAATAATATTTTGCAGTATACTCTTGTTCCATAATCAAATTAAACTGACCTATTTTTCATTATCATAAATGACGAGAGAGAGAAAGAAATTCAAAGTAAAAGTAATTTGAAAATAAAAAAAAAGTAATTTACATTTAAAGAGTGGTTTCTTGATCAGTTTTAAATAATTTTGAGAATAAGGAACATGAGAAAAGAATAAAGTATTTACTATAAAAAGTGCCAAACTTANTATATATATATATATATTTAATATTCACTGTTTAAAAAATTTATATACTAACTTGAATTTGTAACTCTGACATAATATGTTTGAAGCCGCTGGTTTTGGTTGGATATCAAAGTTGGTACACCACGCATTGCCATATTATTTGTTGAGCCAGCAGATGGTGTATATATAGTATAGCCAACGGCTCTTTGTCCCAACAAATTAGAAGGAATGGAGGGCATTAACTGGCGTTGTCCAGCATTAGTTGTTGAGATGTTTTGTGATGAAGGTATAAGTTGAACAAAGTTATTAAGGGGAACAAGCACATTGTTTTGAGTTGCACCTGGTGGTAGATTAACCTTATTGGCTGTACCTCCAGAAACAACTATAAGAACAAAGCAGTTTTGAGATACCAATATAAAATGACAAATGTTTCAAAAATGAAGGACAATTTGAAAAATCATTAAAAGAAAAGCTAAAGGTGAGAATATTGTACAGTTTGCTGCATTTTGCTTAGTTATCAAGTTAAGACTGGTTTGACAATGTTTTCTGCTGCATGTTAAACCATACAAATTGAAATATTTGCAAGAGTGTCTGTTAATTTCGTCCTAAGACTACACATTGATGTTTCTGCAAAAGGTGGTTATCTTGAGACCATAGCTTCAGACTTTTTCTTAATTGGTAACACCATCTATTGACAAAACTTATAACTAACTTTGAAACTTAACTAGAAAATAATTGTTTTCTTCCGCAGAACATAAATTGTTTATTTCCATCATTTTCTGTTTTTCTTAACTAGATTTTTTAAATTGTTTTAAACTTAACTAGATTAAAATTGTTTTTAACTTTAAAATTGTTTTCAACTTAACTAGAATTTTAAAACAAGTTTGGTTCTCACTCAACAGAATTATCAAGCATTCACAAAATTATTTTTGATAGGCATCTTTAATTACGAAAAATACCTTGAAGAACTTTAAAAAGCACTTAAGTAAAATATATATTTCCAGTACAATTTTGCCTTTATTATTAATTTGTAAGTAGTTAAGTTATTTAACATGCTAAAGACCATAAACCTGGTCCAGATTATGTATAAAATCACTCAAGTTAAATAACTATTACTGTATTTTTAGTATCTTCAACTGCAGCACCTACATATGTGGAAGCACCTAAACCTTAAACTAAATGCTTTGAAAGATAAATTCTCTCCTTATGCAAATATATGATAAAGCAGAATTTTCAACATTACTCAAAATGCATTTTGTATTCAAAAGAATACCATGCTATTCCAAAATATCAAAAATACCATGTTTAAAAAGAGAAATTCGAAGAAAAAAAATTTAAGACAAAACATTTAAAAAAATTCACTTAATGAATTTGCAAATTAGAACTTTGATAAATTTTATTTTTTCTTCAAATACTATTTTAAAAGAAAGACATTTAAAACAGCATTTAAAAAAATACCCAAATACTTAAATATCATTTGGTACTTAAATAATAAAAAATTTTACAAGTATATGAATTTCTGATCAACGTGTATTTAAAAAATTATATCAGTATTAAGCAAATGGATACAACAAAGATTGATGAACTCAAGTGAATGTAAGATCTCAATTTTTTTATTTTTTTTATTAAAATTTCTTCAAATTAAAGTACAATAAATTTAAAATGAATTAAACATTTTTAAGTGAAATAAGCAAAAATTCTGTCGAAAGTACAAATATTCCTTATAATCATAATTTGTTATAGTTATGTGCACAGTCAATATTAGGGTTAGATAAATGTTTCAACTTTGGTGGTACCATGCCCTGAGTTCATGAATAGCAATTATTGATAATTGAGAATACTTAGTTTGCAGTTTATGATGATATTACAGTTCAATAACAAAGCTGCCCATTAGATTGTTTCTAGGAAAGATTATTCTTAATCTTATCGTTATTAATGGGTAATTTTGAAATTAAGAAATACAAACCATTAGTAGAACCAATATATCTTCTATTTCCTGATGATGTATCTTCAGTTAAATCTATCAATTGATTTCCTGTTTTATTCTGAGGTAATACTGCTGTGTTTCGAACTGCTGCGGGCTGCATAACACCCCTTATCTATAATTTAAAAAATTAAACACAACATGATGCAACTTTTAAAGCAATCACTAAAAATTACTTAGAAGTATATTTAAAAATCTATTCATTTCAAAAAGATATTTATAAATTACAAGTATCTTTTAACACCTAGTTTGTACATACTCACACCTAGCAAGCCTACACTGATTCTGCCTCTCCTCTCCCTTAATGTTTGGTTCTCATTTAAAATTTAATATTAAAATATTTAATTTATTGTTTTATTTCCAAGTTTGTTGAAGATAAAATTCAAGCAAATAAAAATTAACTTTTTTGCTATACTTATTCCAAATTTTTTTTATCACAGTTCAAAAAGGTAGTAAATGTTTTAGGCAACATANAATCGCGATGTTGGATTTTAAAATCGCGTGAATAAGAACCACAATGTTTGATTTTAAAATAGCGTGAATAAGAATCACGATATTGAATTTTAAAATCACGTGAATAAGAATCACGATATTGGATTTTAAAAGCACGAAAATGCAAATCGCGGTATTGAATTTTTAAATCGCGTAAATAAGAATCACGATGCAGAATTTTTAGAGTCCGTGAATACTTATCACAACGAGTAATGTTTAAACCGCGTATAAATTCGAAAATCGATGTTTGATATTACAACCGCGTGATAACGAATCGCAATATTGAAATTTAAAAATATGTATGAATACGAATCGCGACATTGGATTTTAAACTAGCGGAAATATTAATTGCGATATTGGGTTTTAAAAACGTTTAAATACAAATCGCGATATTGGGTTTTAAAAATGCTTAAATACAAATCGCGATATTGAATTTTTAAATTGCGTGAATGGGAATTGCGAGTAATGATTTTTAAATCGTGTAAAAACAAATCTCAACAAGTAACTTTTAAATCAGTTAAATACGAAAATCGATGATTTATATAAAAATCATCTAAATAAGAATCGCAATTTTAGCAGATTCTGGCCCAGTTCCAAATATTTAAAATTCTGTAAATCAGCCAATCAAAAAAAATCAAATATCAGCGGCCGAAACGAAACTGCTTAGGACTTTTTTTCTTTACTGCAGGTGGGGGGGGGGAGTTCATTGCAAGTCCGACTATATCGTGCGTTCGACTCCCCAAAAGGTTTTGGAACATGGTCAGAAATTTTAAAAAGTCTTTCATCCCTGAAAAGATAAGAGAGCAGTGTAGTAGATGACGGCATTGTTTTACCAAGGTCAACCACTTTTACCCCAGCCAGCAGATTGACATGTGAAGAAAGGTTTATTGGGGGCTTCAATACTTTCGCTCCGCAGAAGAAAAAAATTTTCAACAAAATATCATTTACTGCATTAAAAATTTTTCCGTGCGGAAATTTAATAAAAAAGAGCGGAAGATATGGAAAAATCTGAAAAAAGCGGAAATCAGCGGATCCGCGGAAGAATCACATCCCTGATAATGAAATTTAAATATAATAAAAGTAAATGTTGATGCAAAAAAGTAAGAGAAAATGCATCAAAAAAGAATAATTCAGGTATTTATTCTTTTTTTAATTGTTTTAAAGAAAACTTAAAAATTTTGTTGATCTACAGTTAAAGAATAAAAATAAAAAAGAATAAAATGAAGTAAGTCCGAACAACAAATTATTTACCTGTTGAATTGGTTGAGGTTTTGGAGTTGAGACTAGAGGTGGGCGATTAGTAACAGGAGATATCTAAAAATACAAAGCATGTACTTAGCAAAAATTATTATTCAGTCAATAAATATTTTATTATCATACTGCTTATTTATACGTAACAAAAATATAAAGGCATAAATTAAATCAATGTAAGACAACAACAAATAAAAACAGAAAATTAATATTTTTATTTATTTGTTTGTAAATTTACCTCAAATCAATAAATTTAATTTAAAAAGGCAAATTTTGTATTGTTTTAATATTTGTAAACCAAAATTTTAGAGAAATGCAAAACTACTCACCAGAAAATTCAATTTAATTGTCTAAATTAAACAAATAACACTATTCATAAATCAGTTATTAGTTTTATAAAAACACTTTATTTTAATTCTAAATTTCCAAAAAGAGGCTTTAACTTTTTTCTTTAGTAATTAAATACATAGATTTCTATCAAAACTTACAAGATAACGTAATAAAACAGTTTTAAATTACACTATAAAAGGAATGAAGTATACCGATTAGCCATTTAATCCTAATCGGTATACACAATTTACGGCTTCTTTCAAACAAAATAAACCATATATTTTTTATAATACTTGACAAGGATATACTTTTCAGTAATAAAGCTGTACAAATTTTCACAGACAGTTTGACAATCAAGATGTTTCAAAAAAGGCTTATAAAGAAAATAAACAAATACTTTACCAGCTATAAATAATACTGCAATAGTTTTTGGTAATATAAAAATTAAAACGACAAAGGACAAATTTACAAAACTGGGGAAAACTCAGTTCTGACTTACATATAAAATAATATGTGCAACTTAATATTTTCATTAATTCTCATATGATTATAAATGAAAAATATTTGCAGGAAAAAAATTTTAAAATAAGGTTTTAATTACCATATTATTTGAATTCAAACACAATCAATGTAGAATATTATTTAATTTGAATCAAACATATCAAAGAATTCAAGATTTGAGTATCCCAAATTCAAAAAAAAAAATAGTAAAATAAAATAAGGAAATAGAAATGATCAGTTATGCTTTAAAAATAAAAAATTAAAAAGAAGAAGAAGATAGAAGAGTAAGTACCTTTGGAAGAGAAGATAAAAGTAGCTTAGCTTTTTCACTCGGAATCTACAAGTAGAAAAATAATATTATGACATGTTGCAGATTTAATTTTAATAAAACAAAGCATTAGTATCGTTAGTAAGTGCAAAGAATGCGCAGAAAAAGACAAACATAAAGGGAAAATAGCATACAAATCAATTTAAGTTAGCATTTTTGCTTTAGTTTGTCCTATATTATAAAGTAGAAATTTACAATTAAAATGGAGATTTATAATTTAAATATCTAATATTTATAGCTTCAAGCTCAAACTAAACTAAGGAAAGAATAAGAAAAACTACAAAATTAAAAAGGAACGTGTAACACCGCCTCTGGATTTGATAACCACCTTGATTCGGTTAGGAAGTGAGTCCACAATGTTTTGCACGTACGTCGAATCCAATTTAAGCCACTCGCTGAGAATTTGATTTTGCAAATCCACCAAATTGCGAGGATACTGATTTCGGCGTTTTATCCTTTGTTCAACACGTCCCAAAAATTCTCAATGGGATTCAAGTCAGGTGATTTTGCAGGCCAGACAAAATGTAATTAAGTGTCTGAGTCTATTTAAACCAGTCACATATTCTTCCAGCCTAATGAACTTTGCTGTTATCATCTTGAAAAATAGGGGTATCAATTACATACTCTTCATGAAGATGTTGATGGAAAGGCAACACCTGATCATCCAGAATGTTCAAAAAACTTGTTAGTTCATATTAGTGGCCACCTCAGCGAGGGGGCTCAATCCATAATAAGAAAAACATCTCCAGAATGATTCATTTTTATTTAACTACCAAAAATGATTAATTTTTATGTACATATAAATTTATAATTCAGAAAATTGCTCGGAGGATGTGGCTGCAGGGCTAAGCTCCACGGGACACCTCCACCCACCAAAAAGTCAAAAATGCAAGTGTGATGCGTACGTTGAAATAGTTTTCACCAAGGAGAGTTTAAGAAATCCATGTATTGGCTATTAATTGATTAAATTTAATGCCAAGGCTCTTTTTCTTAGCCCTACGCATTCAAATGTGTTGGCGGAGAAGAAAGCGGGAGAAATAATAACGAATTTTAATGAATCCAAAACATTAGCAACTATATAACAGTTTTTGAATTATATGCTAGTGTGTTGAGATGTAGAGGGAATCTCTAAAAATAGATTTTATTCTGCATTCAACTCAAAGTTGTGGAATACAGGGTGACAGATTATATTAGTTATATTAATGATTACAGATTATGTAAATGATTTTTATTTATTGAAAAAAGTTTAAATAAGAAACTAATTTGGTTTTTAAATTTTAGGAAATATGCTATGCATATTTCAACATGACAACAAGAAAGATTCCAAATTTAAGCAAAGAATACGCTATTGAAATTGTAACAAAGAATTTCCAATTTAAATTAAGCTACTAGTTCAAAGCTGTAAATAAAGTTACTAGTCTAAATAAGCTGCTAATGTACAGATGAGTTTCCAAAATGTTCCATATAGTTTCAGAATCTTGTGTTATTTGCACATTAAATATCAAGTCCTAACTCAAGTAGAGCTAAAATTAATTCAATCTACAATGAACAGCTTATAAGAACTAATCTTAAAGTGTATACATGCAAAGTAATATGAAACTAAGTAAAATTACGAAAAGATCAAATTGCTCAGAAGCCTTTGTTATTTTTATTACCTATATTAATATTTATGTTTTATTAATTAATTTTTTTTTCTTCGGTTAATTCTATTTTTAAGATAATCCAATGATATCATTTGGATTCAGTTCAGTTTCGATAAAATTTTTAAACAAAAACTTGCAAATTGTAACAACGAAATATTTTCATCTCAATAATATTAATAACCAAAATGAAAATTTCTCCACATAAACATATCAACGAGGGTAGAGAAGTATTGAGATGAGACCTCTCAAACTATACAAAACAATTTTAAAAAATATGAAGATGAACCGAGATTTACATTATTCTCCTTAAAACTATGATTTCTATTTTAATATAATTTTTATTAATTATATATTAATCTTTATATTTCAATAAATTAGCATAGATTTATAAGTAAGTAGATATTTATATATAAGTAATTATTAATAAACTCTTTTTGAAATAAATGTTTTAAATATAGAATACAAAAAAACTTTATATGCATCATAACAATCATTTCAGCCTTTTGACAGATTTTGAAGGTTTTAATCAGTTTTTGACAGTTTAACAATGGTTAAACCAGTTTTCCCCATCGTCTAAACTACTTATTTTATTGTAGCTCAAAAAAGCTAGCAGAAATATGATACTAAGCAATATTATAGATAATACTTGAATTCCAATAAAGAAATGGTTTAATTCAAATAAAGAAGTTAATTAAGGTTTATCAACTAAATAAATCAGATTTAGTACACAAAATTTAAAAGATAAAAAGATAATATAAAGAAATTAAACAGATGAACTTAAAGTAACACATGATTTAAAAAATAAACACATACAACTTTAGGTACAGGGGCAGCTGCTGCTACTGAAGAAGGTAGATTGATAGGTTTACCAACAGGTGAAAAAGATGGAGCTTTAGCAGCTGCTTTTAAAGACTGAATATCACATTCCTGTAACAGAAAAACAAAAAAACAATTTTATTATTTCGTACATGTACTATTTTAAATGAATAAAATCATATATGGAATTTAATTTTATATAAAATATGAAATACAACATAATTAGAAAACATTTAATATGAATAAGTGGCCCTAATGCAAAGCCTACTAACTGCTTTTTAGACAAAATGTGAGAAATAAACATTTACTAAGAAAATATATTAAACCATGATAACAAGAAATTTTTTTTAAAAAAAATTGAAATATTAAACCAATTTTTTTTATTCTGAGTGATTGTAAAGAAACAAGAGCTATGCGGAAAAATAAATTGATGCAATAATAAATTAAACTATTTTATCCAAAAAGTGCAGTTTTTGCATCAAGATAATTCAAGTACACTTATAAATTTTGTAATATAAGTTTACAATGAAATTAAAATTCAGATAATTTGCAAAGAAAACGCTTATTTAAACGAATTCTAGAATATATATCAGTGTATTCATACACAAATCAGAATTTAAAGGCCAGTAATTACACAGCCTTTTTACAAAAAAGGTTAGAAAAACACAACTATTTTCTCATCAACTAACTTACTTTAGTGGTCAGTTTAACCATCATAAATATTAATGTTAAATTTTATTATGAATTAGTCATTCAAATGGCTCAATCACTGAGCATTAAAAATTTTCTTTATGGTGATTAAATGTTTATATACTGACAATTTAAAATACAATTTAGTCTTTAAAGGTAATGAAAGGAACCTGTAGTTTCATCCTTACATTAAGCATAATAGAGCCAAGTAAGTTGAATAGCATTTTTGCATAAATTCCAGCAAGACTAAATTACTATTTTTGATCTATTTCACAAAATAAATAAGTTTATAATAAAGTGGCATAAATATTATGCACAAATAGTGAAAAATAGTAAACGTAAATTTTCGGAAATTAAACATTCTACCTTCCTTTTTCAGAATGTAAGATGATCAACTTAGGTAGACTAAATATATGATTGAATATAGATAAATAAGATTTACATGATTGAAAATATGAATACAGATATTATATAATTGAAAATATAAAATATATTATATGATTGAAAATATAGAATAAATTAGTCAAATTATAATACAATACAAAAATTAAAGCAAGAAAAATAAATAAAAAAAACAATGAGAAAGTATAGTATGTTTACAAAAGAACATTACCATATATCACTATCAAGAATGAAAATAAAGCCACATAGTACACAAAATTACATCAAATTCACAACTGACCTTACAAAAATGAACATGTAATAAAAATTTAAAACATAAATCCACCACCCTCACAACAAACAAAGAAAAAACAAATTACTTTTTTCTGCATCTAATGCAACAAAAAAAAATAATAATAATAATTATAAGAGATAAAAAATAAGATAAAGGAAAGCCATTTCCAAAAAAAATAATAAACATCTAATGTAAAAATTTAAAAAATAAGAGATAGAAAAAAATAGGATAAAAGAAAGCTGCTTCCAGAATATATAAAGTTTTTAGCATAGAGCACAAGTAGACATCAGAAAAATCAATAACTCATTGCTGTCAATAAATAAAACAAGCTTCAAGTGTGAAAAAAATAAAAGAAAAATGTATCAACCAGGTAAAACATTTTATAGAGGATTGTACAGGGAAGAAAAATAAAGATATTTTTAAAGGTGTTGTGAGAAATTGAATTTTAAATAAATAAAAATATATAGTATATTTGTAACTAATTACCCTAAATATTTTCACATTAACACCGACAGTTCGTGTAGGTACCTATAAAAAAATGTAGCTTCATTATTTAAAAGCATTCAAATAAAAAAATTATTCAAATAATTCTGTAAAAATATATTCCATCAATAAAATTGAAAACAATGTATAAAAATAAAGTCAGTAGTAAGTACTTAAAAAATATTAGCTTTTAAGCTACCAACCAACTCCATGTACCGAATTTCTACATTGGAAGGAGAAAATGGGATTTTCAAATGAATATATGACAGATATATATAATCAAAAACATTAAATGGAGTTAAGAAACCAATATTCAAAAGAAGAAAACAAACAATATTATTGAACACTGTAGAAGAGAATGTAAAAAACAAAGCAAAATACATAGTCCATTAATACTAAAGAAAGTTTGAAGAAAAGAAGAAACTATAAGTGGATATAGGATATTAAAAAAAATGTAGAGTTAGTAGCTATGTACTAACTTAAAGAAACATACTTTAATGGTATGGTCAATATGATAAATCAGGTGACTATATACATTTGTCAGCTATATAAACAGTGACAAAAGCGAGAAATGTCTTCATGTATCTATTAGATGCACAAATAAGACATAGCCTATTCATTATTAGTTAGTTTCTGTAGTTGTCTGCAATAAAATATGTAGCATGGACATGAAAGTATAAAGTTATTGATATTTAACACACATTTTGCCAAAGCTTTCTATAGAATGCCAAATGCCAAACCGGTTAACTATGTAATCTCAATATCACGCATGAAAGGACATGACACTATCATTTACATCTCGTTGGAATGTGTCAAAATAAGCAATTTTGCTTAAATTTTTTTCAACAAATTTTAGTTTTATAATGTTTGTACAATAATATCATCAATAATATATACCTGCAGACAAGGCGCTTACTAAAAATTTTTTAATAAATTGATTCCAAATCTAAAACCTGAGCAGTAGCATGCAAGAAACTGGAAAAAAAATTGACAAAATATTACACACTGGAAGTGTAGAATTCAGAACCACCTACACACGTACTATATTTCCTACAGAATAAATCAGTCAAGCGATATATTCAGGGAGCGTAGCCAAATTATTCAACAAAAACTAAGCACCTTTTAAGCACTTTTCAAGCACTCAAAAAATATTTTTAAGCACTTTAAAAAAATTTCATAATTAAGCAGAGTTGGGAAGTTTTTGACAATCGACGGTTTTATCTTGTTTTAACCGTCATGTCAAAAACAAAAAAAAAACATTTTGGCATTGTTTTTGACAATTGTCAAAAATCGTGAAATTTTGAATCATGTAAAACGAATGGCGTTTTCATACGTTACGGACTGACTATAAGCCGAAATAGATTGGGGTTGAATTAATTATGAATAGGTTGAACAGAACAATGTGAACTGTGTCTTTTTGCATAATTCAAAGCGAAAATCAACATACTAAAAGGAAAAATCTCATTTTGAAAAAGGGAAAATTAAGCACTTTTTAAAAACACCCAATGAAAAAAGCACCTTTAAGGGCTTTTAAGAAACGAAAATCGAAGATAAGCACCTTTAAGCACTTTTTAAAAACACTATGCATCCTGATATTACATTGGCTTTCATGAATTAGGAATTATATAAACAAGCTGATTAAACGGAATAAAGGGGGGGATTGTTTATCAAATTTATTATTAGATTATATATAATAACCACAGAGTTCTCTGAAGATATTAAGAAGGGCAGGGTGCTTCTTCACAGAAAAAGACACTTTGAGTTTTGAAAGGGCACTCACTTGACACTGTAAAAATTTATCAAAATGTGTAATATCATGCAACAACTGAACTTGATCCTTAACAATTTTTAACTTACCATCTTATACTATTTTATGTGTATATTTTAAAAAGTAATTTTTACTCATTATCTAAATAAGACAAAAAATTTCAGTTTATAAATAATAATTAAAGGCATGCTAAAAGACAATCTCTGACAAACGGTAAACTAAAAAAATTATTTTTTGATAAACAGCTTAAAAGATTTTTTCAATAATTTATACTATAAATTATTTGAAAATGAAAATTTAATGGTGCATGCTTTTTTTTTGTTAAAAAAAAGTGTTTATTTAAAAAAAGTAATTATAAAATTTAAATACTAAAAGAAAACACAAATATTTTTAATTCAAAATAGAAAAAACTAAAATGCGCTAAAAAGCAGCAGAAATTTCAGAAAAAAGTAGCAATAAAGAAAAAGAAAATGAAGGAAATAAAAATTAAAATATGACCACCGAAGCCGACGTCTTCGTCGTCTGTTGGATGTCTAGGTTTTATATGTCTAATTTAGTTTTTCCTTTTAGGTTAATTTTAAATCAATGCAAAGTACAATTTATAACTATTTCATGGCGCATGGCTCGTCGCGCGCCCAAACAAGGAGCACTGAAGTTAGTCTTGACTTAGGGATTACTTCGGACAAAAAGTTACTAAGTCAAATATTTTGTTTAAATAAATTTAAAAATATAAAAAAATTTAAAAAGTTTAAGAAATGTTGTAATAAAAAATGTAAAACTTGTCCTTTGGCTGATAGTTCTCAAATTGACAGTCATTCTAATGTATTTTTTTGTAAAAGTATTAATATTATTTATTTAATTCAGTGCAATTGTTGTAATTTGTGTTATGTTGGTCAGACAGGTCTTGAATTTCATAAGCGGATTAATTCCCACAGATCAGCTATAAAAAATTTTAATAATAGTAATTGTTCCACGGATTATGAAATTTTACATTTTCAATTTCATGATTTTAATAATGTTACTCTTTTTATTTTGGATTTTATGGAAAATTTAGATAAAAGACTTGATTTAGAAAATATTTACATTGGTAGTCTTAAGACTCTTTTTCCTTATGGATTAAATAGTAAATTTAATGGGGAAGGTACTGTTAATACTGAAGATTTTTGTATTTATAATAAATTAAAAGTTTTTGATTTTCCTGGTGTTTGTGATTCAAAATTTAGAAGTAAAAGGGGAGGTGGAAAAGGTAAGGGTAAATTTATTGAGTTTGATGAGTTTTCGAATTTTTGTAACTTACCTGTTAATTTGAATAATATTTTCACTATTAGGAAATATATTTTTGGTTTTAAAAATAAAATTTTAAAAAATTTCCTTATTAAATTTGGTTCTAAAATTAAATTTGATACTGAACTTGTTAAATTTATAGTTTTGGATTTAATTAAATCAAAAATTGGTGTTAATAAAACTGATTTGCTTTTTAATAATGTTTCTAAAGTCGAAAGGGTTTTTTGTACGATTAATTTTCATGATAAGAATTTTGAAAATGCTAAGTTACCACAGATTATTCATGGTCTTTCTGATTTCTTTCCTTTAGAACAAATTAGGGTTACTGCTGCTTTTAAATATTCTTCTACACTTAGGAAAAAGGTGTGTAATTATAATTTTTTAAGTCGAAATCTTAATTGTATTTCTAAATCTGATTGTTATTGTAATGAGGAGGGTTTTTCAAAATTTATTGATAATGATTATGGACATGTTATTACCGGAAATTTGGAAATTGTGGGTGATCAGGATCTAATTAGCATTTTAAGTAAGGGTTCAAAATTTAGAACCAGAGTTAAGATGAAAAAAGAAGATTTTATTTTATCCATTAAAAAAGATCTAGATTTTTTTATTGCAAAAATTTCCAGAAAATATCATTGGCCTGTTGAAGGTTTTTCTGAGTGGAAAGCTAAAATTATTGAAAGGGTTAAATTTAATTTATTTAATACCAGTTTTAGTTCATTTCCTAAAGGTACTTTTATTGATTATGATTTATCTAGAAAAATTAAAAATCTTAAGGATAAATTCATTGTTACTGTTGTAGATAAAGCTTCAAATAATTTCTGTATTATGTGTAAATATTTTTTTAAAAAATTGATTATTGGGGAATATAATGCAAATAATACCTATTTAAAGTTAAAAGAAGATAAAAAAGTTATTGAAAAAAGAATTATTGCATTTAGTAAAAAATTAAAATTTAAATTAAATAGGATTACATTTCCATATTTATTTCCAATAGTTAAATTTCATAAAAATCCGATTAAATTTAGGTTTATAGCATGTGGTACTAATAGTTATAATTCTGATATTAGTAAAAGGTTTTTTTGTTTTTTAAAAATTATTTTGCTTAAAATTAAAAAAGAGAAAAATATTATTATTGAAAGTAATGTTGAAGTTTTGGATTTTATTAAAAGTAATGATATTTCCAGCATTAACACTTTTGATTTTGAAAATTTGTATACCAGCATACCACATGAAAAAATTATTGAGATTTGTGAAGGTATTTATGACAAGTATTTATTTGATGAAAAAATTGATAGGTTTAACTGGTTAGATTTATGCAAGTTTAATCTTTTTGAGAATGTTCTTTTTAATGGTTTAGATTTTTATAAACAAATTATTGGAATTCCACAAGGTAATTCCTTTTCTGGGGCTTTTGCCAATATTTTTTTGCATTTTTTTGAAGCTAAATTTCTTGAGCATAATGAATTTAAAGCTTTTAGATATATTGATGATTTGATTTTGTTTAATTGTGATAATTATAATTTTATTTATAGTATTTATCCTGGAGATTTGGTCTTGAAGAAAACTAATGAGGATTGTTTTAATGTTGAATATTTAGATTTTAAAATTGATATTGTTAACAGCTTTATTAAAATTGGTGTCTTTGATAAAAGAAAAGCTTTTAAATTTAAAGTTATTTTTTTCTGCAACTTTAATACTAATTTGTGTAATAAAATATTTAAAAATTTAGTTTTTTCACAATTGGTTAGAATCAAAAGTATTTGCAATAATGTTGAAAGTTTTCAGGAAGCTGTGAATAGTTTTTTAAATAATTTGATTAATAATGATTTTCCTTTTAATTTTTGTAATGTTAATTTTTTAATTAAAAAAATGATTGAAGAATTCTAGGTTTTTATATTTTTTTCTTTTAACAGGGCGCAATTCAAGTCTTAACTGAGCAGCCCCAGTTAAGCATTCTATTAATTTATTACGTATTTCTTTCTCCTGACATTTTTCACAATTTTTTTTCCTCGTTTGCGCATTGTAATAGAGGGCGTTGTTTTCTTTAGGTTTTAGTTTTTTCTTTTTATTCGGCTTGCTTGAGAAATTGATGTCTGACCTGTGAATATGTGAGTTTTTATTTTTCTGATGGTTTTGTTTGAGTTTCTTTTCTTAATTTGTTATTTATATTGCATTTTTTTCCTGGACTTCTATGCAAAACCATCGGGGTACTGAGGGAGTTAATTTAAGCATTTGCTTCTCCCTATATTAGAAATGGTTTTGTTTTTATGGCTACCGGGGCCGGTACCCCCTGAAGACGTCGGCTTCGGTGGTCATATTTTCATTCTTATTTCCTTCATTTTCTTTTTCTTTATAAAATTTAAAATCACTTAAAAAATTTCTTAATATACCCCCTAGAAAAAAGAGAAACTTATAAAAAATTTCCAGTTGAGAATAATCCTAGCAAAGTAAATATTAGTAATAGTAATCAGAATTAAACCAATAAACACAGATAATTTTTGTGTAATTATTATTTTAGCAATTAATTTTTTTTTAAAAAATGGAATGCGAATAAAAAGGCAGTGTTTTTAAGGGATGGTGGCTTATTTTTACAAAAAGGGTAAAGAGGGTGCATTTATAGGGATCAAAAGGCAGGCCACCCTTTTAAAAACGCTTAGGGTGAACACCGTAACCAGCAATTATAAAAAATCATCGGATTAATCATATTTACTGATAAATACATATAAAAACCAGCAAAATAACAGGATTTATCCCGTCTACCATAGAATATTTATGTTTCGGTTAAAGTGAATAGTAGGTTATTATTAATACTAACCGGTTAAAATTAATAATAACCAAATAAGCCGGTTAAAGTGAATAGTAGGTTATTATTAATACTAACCGGATAAAATTAATAATAACTAAATAAGCCGGTTAAAGTGAATAATTGAAGCCAATTTATCACATTAACTGGCTATTATTAATAATAACCAATGAAGTTTGATCAATGTCATTCCTTTGCGTTTATATTGAGGATATTTCCGTATTGTGAACTGCATCGCTAACTACAATCGACAAGGCGCCAAATTTATTTTAAAATGGAACATTTTTTTTAAAATAACAAAAAACATGTAGATGTTTGCCCACGGGTGGCAATGAATTATACTTTCGAGTTGGTCCCCTTCTGTGAAGTTTTCTTAGTTTCTCGCAGGATTCCGCTGAATGGAAGTTGCCTAGACTTGGTGATTGATCTGCCACAGATCACGATATGGAAATCTCCCCTTTTTTATTTCTCACTTTGGCCAAAAGAAATGGTTATTATTAATTTTGGCCGGTTGGTATTAATAATAATCAAATTAATCATTTTGATCGTAACACACATACAAAAAGGCACACTCATTTCCCTATGCTATATAAACCATTTAATCACATTTTACCAAACTTCAGTGGTTATTATTAATAAAAACCGGTTAAAGTCAATAATTTGCGATATTTCTCACTTTGACCAAAGGAAGCAGTTATTATTAATATTGATTGGTTAGTATTAATAACAACTGGTTTTATTACTTTAACTGTAACATATCGCTGGTTCAAAACTAAAACAACACTTCTGCACTCACTTCTCATGTTATTTCAATGAGAGATGAATGCAGAAGTGTCGTTTCAGTTTTGAACCAGCAATATATAAAAAAAACTGTAGTAGCATGGTATTTAAGACACTGGCTTTCACTTTAAAATCACATGGTTATTTCCCTATAGGTGGCATGAAACCCATCCAGTTTCAAACTAATGGGTATTAGTTTATCTTGAAAAACAGAGGAGATTGGTGCACATCGCAAAGCCCATTGCAACCCCCATCGACCATGCATTTGATGTCAATATTATGGATTCTTACCCTCCATAATCCCCAAGGTCAACAAAAAGCTAGAAATGCATTAATTTTACATATACAGCTCTCGATATCTCACACTTTGATGTCTTGAAAACCTTGTTATGTTAAAAAAATACTTTTCCCCATAGCATTACATGTTAATTTGAATTGGTATGTCAAAGAGTTTTTCCTTAAAACCTTGTTAATAAATGAATTTTTGTCGAAAAAATCACCACTCATTATTGCTGCATCCCAAAAAAATGTGCCCACTTATTAAAATGTTATATAAAATACTCTGAGTATTTGGAAAGAGATGACTTGGCAGCTATTTTTGGAATAGAAAAATTGATTGATGACCAATTTGGAAAACAATATCGGCAGGCCACAATGGTAGAGTTCTTTGATAAACTCTATTAATGTGAGTTTATTGTAAACCAATTTTTTTTCTATTTGATGCATAATCACGTCTTCTGTTGCTTTTAAAAAAAATTATCATTGCTGCATTTAAACTTATTGTCCACTATTGTGCAAACTTATTGTTTAATAAATCCTAGACAAAATAATGAATAGTTTTAAAACATATGGAGCCAATCCACTTTATAAAAAGCAATTTGTAATATAAACAAGTAATGGGAGTTTAAACTTCCGAGCAGCCTTTTAAAATACTCCTAGCTATTATGGATAAAGTCCAATTGACTTTGAAAGAAATGAATCATTACTTGCAAAAGAAAAATACTCTGTTCATGTTAACAAAAAATTAAACAAAACAAAAAATTTGTAAGAAATTTTTTAATTTACAAAAAAAATTTTTAGAAAATTTTCTCCACAGTTATTTTTTTCCCCTAACATTTAAGATGCACTTAGCTGGGTTTTTCCCTTTAATAAGGATACAACATTTTTTTTTTTTTTTTTTTTTTTTTTTTTTNTTGACTGAATACATAAGTTGTATGCATTAAGCATTCAAGAAACTACTCGTTTCCAATTACTAATACACTATAATGCTGAAACCAAATTCTCAGATTTACAATAACACAGTTACTTTTCATAAGAATTCATTATTTTTTTATTGGATACAATACATAAAATAAATGATTTTTAGTAAGTAAAAACATTATATTTAACATAGCTTTTCTTTCAGATCTACTTTCAGATCCCCATTAATATTTTTAAAAAAAAAATTTAAAAAATACATTTTTATCATTCTAAAATAGTAAACTAAAATTGAAATTTGAATAAAGAAAAATAATTGATAATACCTTAGGGTTATAATTGTTTTCCTTAAAAGTAGTTTCTTGTGCATTGTAGAACTCAGTTGCCTGATAAAATACAGAAGAGAAAAAACACAATTAACAAACAGCAATATTTTAGTGAAAAGTAAGGACTTTTAAAAAAAATTTATACTTGTTTTTTGAATGTTTCCAGATCTTTAGAAGAAGATGTTAATTTAATCTCCATCTCTGTTACAGCATCCCCCAACTCTTTTAACTCTTTTCCAAACAAATCAGTGACAACTTTTACACATAAATCTTGAGCGATTTTATCTAACCACTGAAAAGAATATTAACTTTGTTGAAAAATTATAATTATTTTAATTTAATTCATAATGATAAGGAAGACATTATTTATAATAAATCACATGGTATTTAGCTATCAGTAAATAAATATTTATTTGCTTGCTGCTATGACTAATAGATGACTAGCAAGAAGTTCTAAGAACAATACACAGAAATATGCAAATTATTACAATTAAAAAGTAGTTTTACTGAAATATGATCCATGACTGCTTTTAACAAAGATCCATATTTTCAAATTAATATTGTTCAAAAACTAGTTTTTTCATACAATAGGTATAAGAAATTTGTTTTCAAATAAATATAATTATTTCAGAAAACTAATGCTTTAAAACATAGAAATAGTTGTGACACATAAAATTGAGAAAACATACAATTTTTTCTTTATCCAGATACAAATTTCCACAAATACACACATACATATAATATATATATATATANGCACAATAAAGACAAAAAGAAAAGAAAGAGAGAAAAACAAAGTAAAGCACTCTTTTTTGTGGATATAATCATGTGAGCTGATGACAAGATATCTTTTCATTGTTTTCAGCTTTTTAATAATTTTTTTAAATAAAAAAATTTCTATTTGTAAAGTTTATTTAAAAACATTGTATAATTTTGCATTACTTATTCATCTTAAAATGATTACATTTATCTTACATTTAAATTATTTATCTTATATTTAATATTACCTTACTTATCTTACACTTAAATTATACAAGAAAGTGGCTAGAAAACTTGTTATACGGCATATCCTTACATCTTATAAGACTGGATAGTTGAGAGTTTTTTTTAAAAAAATTCTGTTTGTTGTGACATATGAAACCAAGACTTTTCCCATTGGTCAGCATATATTTCCTTGGTGGGGTAATGAGTAAGAGATGATTTAGTAACACTTTTTACCAAAGAAATGTTAATGCTAGCTTAAAATAGAGCTTATTTGTCTAAAAATTTATATTAATTGGTTTCTAATAGTTATTTTTTTCTACAAAAATAATTGCTTTAGCTTTGTCGCAAGGCAGCTTAAATATGTGCTGTTTCTCTCCTTATTTTAACATGCATATCAGAAGTTTGGAGCTTGTCACTTTTGCCTTAAACTTGTGGGAAAGCTACATAATAAATTTGATTGATATTCCACACATTGAACGGAGGCCAGCTACCTACTACCTATCAGAAATGGTAGCACCATGTCTAGAAGAATTCAACTGACTTGTCTACCTATTTATCCAGACTGCCTAATAGAGTTTTGGCTTTGGAAAGATAAAAATCTCATAGGAGTCTTGTTTCTGCAGCAATAATTCAGCGTCCTCTGAAAGATTATGACATGAAACAACATGTTGAGGTCTTTCATCCCTGAAGTGAGTATGTAGTGAATCTTTTAACTTCCTCAGCCAACGACTATGGTGACTCCTATTGAACCTTGAATTTCTTGCCTTAAATTACGAACTTGTGACTTCACTAATGCTCTACTAAATACCAAATAAGATTAAGATCCATGCCTACTGTTATGTAATACTGATAAAACAACAATCTGTGTTACTTGCATTAAGTGGCCATGCATCACAGTATTGTTTCCAGATAGATTTATTACAAATTTCAGTAACTCTTCCTGGATACCAGCATAATACACCAAAACATCTTATTGCCTTCACGAAATTTGTACTCTTCAACAAAAACTATTTCGAAAGGGGTAATAATTAGTTAAATTTTGAATCTAAAACATATTTCAAATATTAATGTCAAGAAGTAACACAAGCAAGAAAGTCCATAATTTCTTTACACGACAACAAAATTTTTAAAAATAAAAAATATACATGACAATTTTAATGAATACTTACACTTTGTTTAGTTTCAAATTTGCTAACAGTTTCAGCGTTTGTAACAATGTCCTCTTTTAATTTCTTTGAGGTACTGACATCATCTTCCTCTTCAACTTTCCTTTTCTTTGAAAGATCTTTTTGATTATTTTCTTCCGATGACTCAGTTTCTTCTCTTACTTCAGATTTTTCCGTCTCGAGTTTATTTAAATTGTCCTCAACTAGGAAATATAAACTCACGTTATTAAGAATACAATGTAAAAGAAATAATTAACAATATTTACTTGATTGGATTTTTTTTTTAAATGTAGGTAACAAACAGACCTTTTTTCAAGGACTTGCAACTATAATTTTTTACCCAGTTAATTTTAACAAGAGCGTGATGCTCAATAGTACAAAAAAATAGAGCTTAAAATGCTTATGTTAAAGTTAATCCTATTGATTTTTTTTTTTTTGTTTCATTTCATCGAGCATAAAAAAAAAAGTAATGCATCAATTTTACAGTTGGCAATAATAAATGTTTAAATAGGTACAAGTACAAAATTGTAGTTTTTCAAAATTAAATCTATGATTTCAAAACTATTGGTTTGATCGTTTAAGGATTGACCTCATAGATTCAAGGTAAAAAAAAAACATCAGGAACAATATCTCATTTATCTAAATAGCAGTGTGTAAGTTCCTTCTGAAAACCTTAGGTACAAATTTTGACCACTTGCTATGAGAGGGGTATTAACAAATTGCTGCAATTTTCAATTTATTCAGAATTTCTAAAAATATTTCTATAATATGCCTACAATTCAGATGTGTTACTTTCAAATTAAAACTGCATAACATACACAATAATAGGTTTACAAAATAATACATACATACATGGAAAAAAAGTATGTTCTAGTCATTTCATTTCATGACAAAATGTAACAGTTTAGAATTTTAATTAAGTTAACGACAACGAAAAAAACCACACAATTTTTAGACATGATTAAATTCCTATTAACAAATAAAATAATTATTTAGGAATAATTTTTATGTTGACCAAAGATTTAAAGTTGAAATATTAATTTTCATGCTTGCAATATGTCTGCGCATGTTTTTGATAAAATACTCTGCAGACTTTATAAAGGGCATCTAATAAATTGATTTGACCCAGTCCTTACAATAGTAATGAATAATAATAATCACTCGATTTAAATCTATTTCCTTGAGTCCTAAGCCAAAGTTAATGATTAAAGACAAAAGCATATTAAATGAAATTTCCATATATGAACAAATTTTATAGTAAAAAATAACCATAAGGAGAAATTTTTCAGACAATAAATGGCTTTATCAAAGAAATTTGCAACCAAAAATTGTTTGGAAAATGTATACAACTAGCATAAAAAATTTTATAACTATTTTTTAAACTACAACAACTACCTCAGTAAAAACATTGAAATTATAAAATCAAAATTCTAAATACGAGTGTTAAAAGACTGGATTGGCCAAAAGCTTTCAACATTCTAATATTTTTCTTTCTTTTTAATTTTCTTTAACCAAGATGTGTTCCATAACAAATGCATTTAAAAATTGGAAAAATTTATTTAAAATTTTACAAAAGATTTGTTTAAAAATGAAAGGAGAAATTTACAATTAAAATCAAGTAAAATTTATTTTAAAAAGATAATAAAGAGTGCAAAACTTCAAGTGTTTTTTAATTCAAAAATGTATAACTAATAAATAAAAATATAGCATAAAATATAAATAGTACATAAACAACAATGCAGAAAATATTTTGTAAATATATTATGTAAAACTTGCTCAACCTTGTTTCTTTTCAAAACAAATTAATATTTTTCTCATAACATTCAGGAATAAGCAAATTAAAATCAGTGGATATAAAAACTGAATTCATTGTGACATCCAAAGTTGAATTAAAATAATTTTCAGCAAACTTCTTTCAAAAAAAAGCTGCACCCTTATTCTTATATTAAGTATACCATTGATAACATATAAATGCCACCTTTATAACGATACATAAAGCATCTTAAATTAAAAACTCAAATTTCACATTAGTTACTATTATTTCATTGTTTTCAGCTGCAAATTATGTTTTCAATTAAGATTAAAACTAATACCTTAAAAAACTCTAAAATTTTACTATGCATTACCATTATCACAGATTTTACGTAAGGAATCTGGTTGACTTGTTGAACCTTTTTCAGAACATTTCGTATAGTCAAAATTATTGCACACTGAGAGAAGTCCATCAATCTTGTTCGACACCAAAACTTCAGGTTCGTCATTAAAAACATCACCATTCACAGGCAGACATTTTTGAGTAAGTTCTGTCTCTTCTGCTTGTTTATTTTCTTTATCTTTACCAGATTCTACTTCCATTGAATCTTTCTCAACTGGTTTAGAATTTAATTGTGCAGTCAATCCATCTTTAACTATTGTTTCCACAGATTCAATGACATCTAATATCTTTACTGAATCTTCTAATTCTACCGGATTCTTAGGACTTTGTGAAGAAACGTCAAGAGATTCCAAACTATTCTCACTACCTAGTTAAAAAATAAATAAATAATTAAAAGACTTCTTATCAATCACACTAATCTAAGTACTATACACAAGTTTATTATTCAAAGCTTTGAATTATATGCTAAAGAATTTACAAAAGAACTTATTCAGTTTTCAATGTCAAATTAATATTTCTGAATTTTAATTATTAAATTACCAATTTAAGATGAGAAAAATTACAGGAGGTCCCATAAATGACTGACAATTTGAAATAATAAAATCACTTAACAAAAAAATGGAACTAAACAGTTCCTTGTGATTTGCCTAGGAAACAATATATATTCTCTACAAATTTTAAAATCTGTTAAAATGTTTGTGAACAGATGGAACTTTTCACCGAAAAATGAGATTCAATGAAGACTCAAGAAATTATTCATATAATTATTCAGAGAAAGTTTTAAGAATTGAAACTCAAAGTAACATTTTAAATTATAAATCAATTTTAAATTATAATTAATTTCAAAAATAGAAATTGGGAAGAAGAGGGGAATTTTTTTTTATTTGTGAGGTTTTTATCAATAAGCAACATGGCAAACATGCAAGGAATTCAGATTATTTTTTAACATCAAATAATTTCTGTTATCAAAGTTTCTCATATTAAGGGTCGACTGTAGTTAAATATTTTCCAGAATCCTATTATTCTCCTTATCTTTGTACATCTCTTACAGAAAGAATTTCAATTTTATAATTATTATATAAACTGATAACAAATAATGAAAGTTTTTTTTTTTTCTTTTCCCATTTCGTGACATAGCAACATTAATCTGTTAACCAACTTCATAGCTAAAAGATAAATATTCATCTAAATCTTATTCAAAATTTAAAGAACACTGCTTTCTATACCTGAACAAAGGTTGAGATATTATTTTTCATGAATTAACAAGCAAGAATTTGCACATAATAAAACCAATTGAGTCTCTAACACATGAGAAAAGATTGAGTCAAATATTTACATTGAAAATTTAACAATTAAGAGCCATGTGGCAGAATCGCAGAGACATAGCAACATTGTCATAGAACATTTCAAAGTTCTTGCAGAAAGAGTTTTCATTTGGAAAGGAAAAGGTCTTGTTTTTATCTTCTGCAGAAATTTTGGAAAAACTTTTTCTCCTGCTGAATTATATTCAAACAATGCCTTTCTCGCACATTGAAGAGTACAGAAATGCTCGTGATTTTTCAATTCTCATTTGAGAACAAAAATTCGAAAAAGACGGGACTTAGCTAGAATTTCAAATAAATAATAGTATTAAAAAAAATATATACGAAATCACGAAAGTTTAAAAGACAATTTGCTCTAGAAATCATGTTTTTTTCCCCTCTTTTTTTTGAAGAGCATCATATTTCACATCTTAATAAAACTCTCTGATCATCCACAACTGTCAGATGACTGTGAGTGGGGATTCCATTACAAATTCAGATTTGTGGCAAAAGAATAATTTAATCAATAAGGTACATTAGTCCCCTTATTTTTTCTAATTTAGTTTAAATAAATTCAATCCACTATTTCTAATATATTAAGTACACAAATATTAGAAATCACGAATTTGAGCCTTCATATTATCGCTCACAACTCGCACTGATTCACTCGTAAATGTATGCAATGTTTTAATTTTTTTCGGTAATTATTGCTATGAAATTTTACTTGATTTTTTTAAATATTTTTTAAAAATGTCTATCAATGCTCAGCTATTATTATTGGTATTCTCGTGTGTTTTATCTTAATCGATATTATTACAGCATGTGAAGTTAAATTCGCATACTCATTGGTGCTTTCTTATCCTTAACAAAATGTGAAAATATCACCCATAATATTAGAATAAAAAAAATAATACATATTTAACTTTTAAAAAAAATACGCACAGTTTTTTATTTATTTACTTTTTTTTTGCAGACAAGTTTCTGCGACTTTAAAATAGTAACATATATATTTATAATTATTCGAAGTATCTTGCCAAAAGATATTACCCACTGCTCGAGTTTTGTAGCAGAAAACCCGAAAAAATTCTGCCACAATCCTTATTTAATTATTCTCTTATTACAGTTTTTTTTAAACTAAAATTGTTCCTTTTGAATTAAAAATTAAAATTTAAACCTAAAAGTGTTAAACTAGGTAATATCTTAAAAAACAAAAAAAAAACAAAAAAAATACACCCAGCAGGTTTGGTTTTTTCAAACCCTGATGCGAGTGAATATTTAAATTAAATCATACGAAACATTAGTACATTATTTTTTAGGGCAGAAATGGCAGTTTGAAATTAGAAAAATCTAAGGCTAAGGCAAAAAAGTGGGACCACACATATAGTACAATACATTTGAAAAAAAGCAATTTTCCATGAGCAAACAAAACAAAAAATATTATAATAAAATAAATTACTTGATGATTCCAATAACAATTTCATATTCTTTAGCTCAATAGATTTTAAATCTGCATCAAGATCTGACACTGTAGAATTTTCAGATGAATCCTCCTTACTGAGAGTATAACTAAGTTCATTCAGTAAATCTTTAACTGTTTCCTCCACACTTGAAACAGAAGTATTAACAAATTCAGACGCGGCGCTATTATGTTTATTCTCATTATGAGAATCACTATTTTCAAGATTGGAATTGTTTATATTTACTTCATTCTTTAATATTGTTTCAATTTTATTATCTTTTTGATTACTTGACTCACTTATTAGAGACACAATAGATTCTAAATTTTGATTAATAAGGTCTAAAACATTAGAATTTTCTGATGAATCATCATTTTTAGGTTCCCTAGCAGATTTTAATTCATCATCTCCTTTGCCTTTACTCTCACATTCGCCTCTTAAGCTTTCCTTACAACTACCAGTAGATGAATTATTTATTTCTTCATTCTTCTGATTGAGTTTTGGAGATAAAATGTTTTGATTATTTTCACTAGAAACATTGGCATCATTTACCCAAATATCTTCTTTATTGAAAACGCTCAAATCAGTGTCCTTTAATTCAAAACCATCTTTTCTACTGTCTGTAACTTTTATAGGAGATAAAGTTACTGCCACTTTTACATCAGATTTATCATCATCTAATACTATTTCATGAGAATCATCTTCAATTATCAGACAATCATCTTCAGAATCTGACTTTTCAGCCTTGAAAGCTTCTATAAGAGAATCCATTTCAGCTTCACTATCAGATAAAGTGACATTTTCAACACTTTTATCTTTGTCAGCAAATTCGGAGTTCACAAATTCTGGCAATATTGAATCTATTTCATCCTCTGATTCATCCATAACTTTTTCGAAGTTAAACTCATCATCATCAATTTTTTTCATTGAGTTGACTTCTTTTTTGCCTTCATCATTATTTTTTTCCTCTTCTTCGTTACTTTCAGCAATAGCCATCTCAATACAATGTGCAGAAATAGAATCGTTGCTATCTTCACTCAAAATCAGAAACTGATCATCTTTATCATCTTCTTTTTCAATATTTAATTTTATGTCATCACTACTAGACATCTTAGACGAATCATCTATATCAGTTGATGTCCTAACTAAAGTTTCATTTGTAACATTAATAGACATCTTAGGTAAATCATCTATATCATTTGATGTCTCAATTAAAGTTTCATCTGCAACACTATTGTCTTTTTCTTTTGAATTGGCTAGAACATTACATTCAATTTCTTTAGAGAATCCCTCTCTAGAAACTACTGATTCATCACAACTAAGTTTTCTAGAGCATTCTTCTTTCATAACTCCTAGGTCAATACAATCAAGCTTTTCAGAGAACTTTTCTTCTGCTATTGCTGAATCACTGCAATCAAGTTTTTTAACACTTATTTTGTTAGAAATGGCTATATTATTAGAATCAAGGATTTTAGAACAATCTTCATTCGAGACAATTGAATCGTTATAGCATACAAGTTCTTCTGAGCATTTTTCATTTAAAATAAGTGTATTGTCACAAACTAACTCTTTAGCACTGTTCTCATTTAAAATGGGTAGATCATCACAATTAAATCTTTCCATACATTCCTCATTTAAAACTGCTGGATCTTTACAACCAAGCTTTTTTGTACATTTCTCATTTAAAATGACTGGATCATTACAATCGGATTTTTTCTCATAGTCATTAACCGCAAGATCATGATCAAGATCTAATGCACATTCAACATTTGAAATTGCAGAAGCATTACCATCAAAATTTTCAGCTCCGTCTTTGTTAAAAACTGGTTTATCCTCAACATCAAGCTTTTTAGGACATTTTTCGATAGGAGCTAGATCTTTACACTCCAGTTTTTTAGTTATTTTCTGGTCAGGCTTTTCTGTATTTATTTCGAAGCTAAAACTCACATCTCCAACAGAACAATCACCTTGTTTTTCAATCGCTACATTACTATTCACTTTAACAGAATCATCGCAAGATTTATCACAGCTTTCAACCAATTTTATTTCACTATTAATATCTGTAGAAACAGTTGTTCTCGGAGTAACGGAAAGTTTATTTACATCTATCACATTTGTTTTTTGTTCTAGTGTACTTTCCAAAACATCAGAATTTTGCTCCGTAACACAAATGCATTTTTCCCCATCATTTACTTCAGATTCATCGGCTTCCTTTTTTACATTGATGGCAGGCGTTACATCAAACAGCTTCTCACAAACAAGTCCGTGATCACCGCTGTCTAATACAGATGAACTACCTTGTTTCTCAGTTAAGACTTCTATTCGTATTCCATTATTACAATCGTCTTCACATAAAATTTCACGGTGATCACCCGTCTCTTTTTCAGATCCAAGATTAATTTTATCTGAATCAATTGACTCCACTGAATTCATAACAGAGGAACTGCCATAATTTTGATCACAATCCATTTTCATGTTTTCAAAACAAATATGCTGCCACTCAGAGAATGTTCTGCTGATGGAATTTATACTAAAAAAATAAAGGCTAAGGGAGCCAAGAGATATAAACTATGATGTGCAAAACTGGGAAGTAAAAGCTACTTGCGCCATCTAACAGAAACTAGGCATAAATATAAGAGAGGTTCTAATTGATTCCTAATTTATAAATAAATTAAGAGTGCTTGAACTTTAACTTTTAAATTTATAAATACCAAATGTATGCTTTATTTCTGAATGCAGAATAATATAAGATTTTGCTTTGTGCATAAAGGAAATTGTGATTTTAAAAAAATGAATCGCATGAAATTTCGTAACAAATTGGACTTTAAAATTAAATATAAACTTTTGATTATTTTTTAAATGAATATTATCTAGAATTTAAAATAATTTTTATGTTATTAATTCATTCATATTTATATTTAAATTATTATAACATTTTCAAATTAATGTTTTATAAAAGTTACGTGGACGCAACGTGCGGCCGCGGGCCACACGCGGCCCACCAACCCTTGATGTGCGGCCCGTGGAAGCAATCTGAACACAATTTTTAAAAAAGTATTCAATTTTCTGTTTGAAAAATTAAAAAAAATTTCGGAAATTTGAAATTTACACATTTGAGTTTTTGACGCACCCAATTGGGTGATTAAGATTAATCTTAATCAATGTAGTTTTTTATCACTATTTTTCGATGGTTAAAGCTACGGATTTACAAAATCGATGGTTACAGCGTTTGAAAATCCCAATATTTTTAATGCGTCATTATTACGATACACGAATTTCGAAATATAGTTATTACTTTTGACGCTCTTCGTGTGTGCCGATTTCATCATAAATCCAATGACTTTCCGGTGGCTATTGCTACCCATTTTCATGTAGTTTCAGAAATTGCGATTTCTGAAAGTTATGAAATGCTTTATTTGTGCAAACTTCACAGCAAATCTAAATGACTTTTGATCCTTTTATCGGCAGTTATTGTATCACGATTTTCTTGTGGTTTTTAAAGTTTCGATACTTTAGCACGATATTAATATCACTCATTTAGATAAGCATTTTTTGACGTGGTTTATTTGTGCCGATTTTATCGCAAATCAAATTATTCTTCAATAATTATTTTGGTAATTATTGTCACACATTTCTACAATGTTTTGAAAGTCCCGATATTTTTATACGCTATTGTGACACTTTAATTTCGAATCCCGTATTTAAATACATCACTTTTTGACGTGCTTTATCCGTGCATCGTATAAAGTTAATGTACGTTATTTGACGTGCATCGTAAATAAATATAAAGGGAATTTGATAGTTTTTTTCGTAGTTATTACTACGCTTTTCCCCGTGATTTAAGTCCCGCAGTGGACTGATCGTTAAGACACGGTTCCCAGCAGATCACCGAAGTCAAGCATCACTGGCCGCGGTCAGTGTGCGGGTGGGTGACCACTTGGATCAGTCTGCGTAGGGACCGAGGGTGTGCGGTATTGGTCCTCGTTAAACTGT